GGGAAAATGATTCTAAGTTTCTTTTTTTTTTTTTTTTTTTTTTTTTTTTTTGAAAGCGTTCTTTTTCTGCTGCTAGGGTCTTAGAGTATCAGAGGTGATCCAGCCACAGGGAGGAATGAATAGAGAGGATGGCAGGAAAAATAGACCTGACTGGGCTGGAGAGATGGCTCAGCAGTTAAGAACACTGGCTACCCTTCCAGAGGACCCAAGTTCAGTTCCCAGTAACCACACGGTGCTCACAACCATCCATAATGGGATCTGATGTCCTTTCCTAGCAGGCAGGCATACATGCAGACAGTGTACTTAATACCTAAAAAAAACAAATAAATGGATAAGTGAATAAGCGAATAAATAAATAAAATTCAAACAAAAAAACAGTACCTGGGGTAAGAGAGTAGAGTTACCAAGTATGAAATATTCTGCTGGTTTAGTTCATCAAGTGACAGGGCAGCTTCAACACTGTTCTTTGGGGGAAACATTGGGCTCATGGATGATAAACAAAACCAACAGATCTTAGTGCTTATTATATAGTTGTAAGAATTTGAGTAATTTGCATTAAGCAAACATCACACAACTGTTGCTTTCAACTTACCAGAGAGCAGGCTTTGCTTGAACTTGGCTGACTGGTCAGTGCTTTAGCCTGGAATTTCTTGAGTTGTCCAAGTGATGCTTATGTTTTATAACCTGGTTAAGGCAAGGAGAAACGCTTTGATCATAATAGGAAACAAATCACATATACCTTATAGACACTGGAAAATACTGTTTAGCACACAGATTCTTGAGGATCCTGGGGTGTCGGGGATTAGAGTTAATGTTGGTTTGATTGAACTGTAGACACAGAAGACCTCTGCAGCACAGGAAGGGAAAGAATGGGATGGGTTGAAGACTAGAACTCTGGGTAGAGGACAGAGAGACAGAGTCTACTGCCTGCTTGGAGCCTGATTCCCAGCGAGGTTGACCTTCTCTGTCTTTACACAATAAGCTGTTTTCAAGGGGAATATTGTACAAGTTTCAGTTTCCCAGCTTGCTGGTTGGGTCCTAGCCAGGGTCGGATTTATGCAGACCAAATTGTATGCTGTTTGTCCTTCAAATTAAAATGGCACCGTGTTCCAAATGCTGGAGTCCAGCTAAGTGGGATCTGAGTGTGGCCCTGGGCTAGGTTAAATACCATTCGGAAGGTGTGTGGATTTGGTTTTTCGGGTTCAGTGACATATGGAAGTGATGGATTTTTAAGATTATTTCCTCCCTACTGGGTCTGCTGATGTCCTGTCGCCCTTTCTGAGCACAAAGGAAAAGTGTGTCCCACTAAATCCATGACCTTAACGGTGGCAGAGTTTTAGCGAATTACCAACATTATCTTCTTCCTTAGACTTAAAAATCTTGACAGTGGTTAACTGCCAGATTTAACCCTTCAGTGGTCCTGTTGTAAATAAAGCCAGTGAGCTTAAAGCAGAGTGGCTTGGAACATGACTTGATCTTCAAGTGCTGCCTTTGTACCTTGGATTTGGGCAGGAGTAGGGAGGTCACTGAGTAGAGTTAATACTCTCCTTGGAGTTGGCCTTTAACTTACTACTCTGCTTTGGCTTCATCTATTATGCTTAAATGTAGCCATAACTTTTCTGATTTAAGCAATATAGAGAGAGTATAGTCAGCACATGTAAGGCCCCTTTTGTGAAACAGTCCTAGGGGTAATCCTTGTATACGTGCATGGAGTTTTTGGATGAAGGAATTGTGTTGAAACAGTATCCAACATACCATCTACATAGAAGGACCTGTCTGTAGGGAAGAGTTCATGGCAGAGTGGTGATGGAGGGGAGTTTGGGGCATAACCTAAGAGGACTCTGGAGATGTGAAATATGAAAACACTCTGGTTTTCAGGGCCTGAGCTGGGGAGTTACAAGAACTAAGTTTGCCACCTGAATCCTGCGTTTGAGATCACTGGTGGATGCTGAGCATTGTAGCAGTGGGCTGTGTGGTTCCTTGGGAAGTGTATGGGTATACTAAAAGTGAGCTGGGGCTGGCTGGGAAGGAGACCAGAAGGTAACATGGGAGGAGACTAGAGTGCAAGTGATGAGGCCCTGGACTCTGGTGGCCAACCTGAGGATAGCAGAGAAAGGACAACATGATACTTAGGAATTACTGTTTGTTTCTTAACGAAACAGTTAGTCAGGCATGGTGTGCATACTTGTAATCCACACTCCAGAGACTGAGGCAGGAGGATCCTGCCTGAGCCAGTCTGAGTAAAACTGTAGTAAGAAGATAATGTCAAAACAAAACAACAACAAAAACAAACCAATAACTTCTAAAACAAACAAAAACCTACACAGTGACATAATTACAACTCTAAAGAAAGATATAATAAATTTTAATATTAGCAAATGTCTACTGTTATTGATGTTTCTGATTACTTTATGATTGAAGCATTTATTTTTATAGTTTTTTTTTGTTGTTTTAAAAAAAAACCTGGATCCAAATAAGACTCACATTGTATTATTTGATGTATTTCTTGAGCTTTTCCTCCATTCTTTGTAGAAGGATTTGGGTCTTTTGTGTACAGACTTTCCCACAGTCTTGCTTTTCTGAAGTATATTTGTCATGGTGTTTTAATGGGTTCCTCTGCCCCTCTGTCCTCCCTGTATGCTGAAACTGGTAGCTGGATCTAGCAACCTGGTCAGATTTCATTGGCCTTAAGACATACATAAAATGGGTTGTGTGCTGTGTCATCATGCCATCTATTCAGTAAATAAAGATCACTGTTTAGTTTGAGTTGCAGTTTAGTCAGTCACACACAGTGGTCTTGAGAATATGGGACATGTTCTACTATGTGGACACAGCTTTAGTGACCAACCCCAGAGCTGATGGGGGATGTCCTACTGTATATATGTTTCTCTTATTGGTTGGTGAATAAAACACTGTTTGGCGAACAGAGGCAGGAAAATAGGCAGGGAGAGGTGATGAGGAGAATTCTGGGAAAGGTAGATGGAGAGAGCCGGCCAGAAAAAGATGACGGGTAGCGGCCAAAGAAGAAACAGGTCCAGACCTGTTTCTCCAGTAAGCCAAGACCACAAATACTTAGATTTATGGAAATGAATTAATAATTAAGATAGAGCGAGCCAATAAGAAGCCCTAGCCTTCTGCCAACGGTTTTATAATTAAGATAGCATCTGTGTGTTTATTTGTGGCACAGAAGGGCGACAGGACCTGGGGGGACAAGAAGAACCACCAACAACATAGAGCCTCGCCATCCTCTCTGATGACAGCTTCCTCACACCTCTACAGTCTACCCACTTCCCCAGAACCAGTCAACCATTCCTGAGTTTTCTCCCTATGAAATAGTTTTACTTGTCATGAATTTAAAAAAGAAATAACTAGATAAATAAGTGGAAATATATATTAACACTTAATTTTTATATATTTTAGTCTAAACTTACCAACATTTGTTAACTCTTGTGTTGCTACTACAAATATACTTTTATTTATTCATCTTTTGTGTGTGTGTGTGTGTGTGTGTGTGTGTGTGTGTGTGTGTGTGTGTGTGGTATGGCTAAGGGGTAGAGGCCAGAGAACAACCCATTAAGAGTCAATTCTCTCCTACCATGTACCAAGGATTAGACTCAGATCCTCATTCTTGATGGCAAACACCTTTACCCACTGAGGCACCTTGGCAGCCCATTATTAGAAATATAAACATGGTAGTCAAAGGATGGCAGTGGATGATGGGAAACTTGGGAGCAAAGCAGACACCACTAGAATGCAGTTACCCAGACTGGACTGGGGCAGAAGAGCCTGGCTTAGAGATCTGCAAAGGCAGGAGTGGCCCATGCTGGCAGTGAACGCACATACACATGCTGCCCTTGGGCTCTGTTGCCCGTCTGTCACTTTCCTGTAGACACAGGATGTCCTCACAGCCCTGTGTGTGTCCTGATGAAAGAGGCCAGAGGCCCAGTGTGAGACAGTTTCCTCCAGGGCAGGAGGATGGGCTGTGCTGGACAAGGAGGCCTCCCCTCTGATGGACACTTACGCCTCTCTTCCTTCCCCAGTCTTTACTGCGTTTCCATAAGCGTGTTACTTCCATTTTTCTGATTTTCTTCTGTGGGACAGAGTTTTCCTGTGTGTCCTAGACTGGCCTTTAATTCATGATGACCATTCTCTGCCCTCCATGTGCTGGGATTGCGTGTGTGTGTGTGTGTGTGTGTGTGTGTGTGTGTGTGTGTGTGTGTGTGTGTGTGTGTCCCTCCCTGTACCCAGCTTTTCTTTATTTGTGTGCCTGTTGCTGTCCTCATTGTCTCCTGGTGAGACAGTCATGTGACTTTGTTGACACAATTAGTTTTACCCAGAAAAATAGTTGATAGTTTGCAGCTTCCTTTGTATGTCTGTATGCAATGAACATTTCTATGTCATTAAAATTATTTGAAATCTTCACCTCTAGGTAGTATATAACTTAACATGGTCATACTCTGTGATACATAATATTATGAGAGTATGTATACCATATGTAATATACTAAATTCTGTATATTTCCCTTTGAATAACTCTGTAAAATGGATTAGAAACTGTTGAATTTTTTTAAATTAAAAACAAAGCAGTCCTGAATTATGAAAGAAGACAAGCGCATTGCATGCTCCACTGAGGGTGACTGTTCTTATGACTTGGACGTCTTCTATGCACATTTTGGAGAATAAGTCTTTGTAAAAGCTTTGTGACAAACTTTCTCTGCCGAGGTTGCTTTGCTTTGCACTGAATCTGGAGAGTGGTGAGCTGGGGCTTGGGGGAAGTAAAACCTAATGTATATGGGGAGTCCGATGCCACTGATGGCAACGTTTAGATGACAGTGTCTGCACATGCTTGGCATAGGCCTCAGTTCTCGTCCCGTGTGTGCTGGTTTTATAGGAATCAATGATGATCAGTTCTGTCCAGTTAACTATTACATGCCATTCAGAAGATTTTATAATGATAATTATAGTGACTAATCACTCCTCTCTCCCTCTTTGTCTCTACAGAACCATCCGAGTATGGCTGAAAAGAGACAGCGGCCAGTACTGGCCCAGCATCTACCACACGATGGCCTGTAAGTCATGGACTCACCTAAGGGCCTTGTTTCCGATGCCTTTGATGACTTAATTTCAAAATGCCTGGGCTAAAACTTGCTGCTGGATTTCGGAATGAGTTCCTTTGTTGCCTAAGACCTTTACAGGCTGTAATAAACCACAGGAAAGCTCCTTCTACAGAGGCAGTTGGTCTCCCAGCCTAACTGAAACAGGACCAAAATTGGGAGGGGGGAAGGATTAAAAACAAAACAGGAAAAGGGCCATTTTCCTTTGTCTTCATTTGCCCAGCTTTAGTATAGTAATGATTTTACAAAAATTATTTTTACGGTACTTAGTGCTCATACCTTGGCAGATATTTGGAGGTTAGAGAAAAACTTATAAGTGTCGACCTCTTTCCATCTACCATTTGGGTACAGGGAACCAAATGCGGGCTTTTCAGCATGATGCTGAGCCTTTTCATTGGCCCCCAGCAGTCACTTTTTACTCAGTGGTTAGGGGCTCATACAGCACTGTAGAAGACCTGCGTATTCCATATACTGTGGTTTGACCTGTGGTTGTGACCAGCCCTTTGCGTGGTCTTTTCACTGCCCCCCAGTGCTGTAGAAAGGTGTGGACCACGGAGCAACACTTTGTAAATTGAGAGTCTTTTTAGAAGTTGGGTGTGTAGCTCTGTTGGCTTGAAGCTCTGAGTTCAATACCTAGCATGGCATAAAACTGGGCATCGTTGCCCATGGTTACATAGCAAGGTTCAAAGACCAGCTGGGGCCACATGAGACCCTGTCTCTTAGGATGTGCTGACGTAGGATTACCCATACATCCTCAAGCTAATGTACACACCATTACATTGCTGGACGATGACTTCTTACTTCCCAGTGGCCTAGCCACAGATCTGATAGCTGGAAGGGTGCAACAGTCTGGGAAGTCATTCCGTGCTGCCCATGCGTTGTCATCATGACAGAACATTGCCTCAGTGCAGTTGGTGTTAATCCTCTGCGGCTCCCATCCTGCTTTCCTCCACAGTCCAGATTTCAGTCATAACTTAACCCCTGGGGTCCTGAGCACTGGGGTTCATGCTCCAAAGACACTGAGACTGAGGTGCTTGTGGCCCATATTTAGTGGTTACTCTTTAGATTGCATCCCTCCCCCCAAATATTTTTCTTGCAATGCTGGGAAGCTATGTCTTTAGCACCCCCCTCCTCCAAATATTTTGTGTGACTTTATTGTGAATTAAAAACAACAAATTGCATCTGTTTATGTTGTGTGGAGGGAGGTGCTGCAAGTGGAGGTCAGGGGACAACCTGTGGGGATCTCTTCTCTCCTTCTACCTTGTGGGTCATGAGTCCTGTTTTTCCTCTTTGTGTGGGTACTTGACCCCTCCACCCTGTTTTTAAAACTATATATGGCTTACCCCGGTAGAAACCACTCTTTTAAGAAGAAGGGGGAGGGGAAAAAAAAGGGGCCGCCTGGGTATTACAATATCCAAACCAAGCATCAGAAGCTTTTTTAATTAAAAAGTTCTGAGGTTGTTGAGATGATTCAGTGGGTAAAAGTGCGTGCTACATGAGCCTGGCAACCCGAGGTTGCTATCCGGAGCTGACAGTGGACAGAGAAATGAACTACGGAAAGTAATCTTCTGATCTCCACATGTTCACTGTGGCATGTGTATGCCCCCCCCCCCCCGAGTCCTACACACAACAACAATAATAAATGTAACAAATCTCTAGTCATAAAATTACTCAGCATATTGACATTTTTACACAAATGAGGAGTTTTACATAGTTATGCAGTTTTATTATAGAGTCACATAAAAAAAAATGAGGCTTAAAGCCATCACAATTTGTCATCAGCTGTTAAAAACGGTAACAGTGAATCTTTTAAGTCATCAAAGCAGCTGATGATTGCTTTAACTGCTTGAGGCTGGCGTGTGTGCGTGTGTGTGTGCGTGTGCGTGTGTGTGTGTGTGTGTGTGTGTGTGTGTGTGTGTGTCTAACATATCTTTGTGGTTATAATTATCTTTTAAAACTCACACAGCCTCACTTTGTACATGTAGCTGGCCTTAATCTCACAGAAGTTCTCCCCCCTCTGCCTCCTGGATCCTGGGATTAAAGTCATGTGTCACCGTGCCTGGTTGAGGATGTAATTATTAAACATGAGATTATATATTATAAAACCAAAACATAAATATACGAGTCTGCAAACTGGAATCCAGTCCAAACTCACGCACATCTGACTGAGTTGTGTCCAATGTCAGTATCTACCTTTACCTGCATAGTTCTTGAATGCATCTGACATGGTCCTTTCCTGTGTGTGATCTAAGCTTCGAACTGTCTTTGGGTACCATTCTGTGTTATATTTTCTTTGGCAGAGTATGAGCCCAGGGGCTTGGGAAATTTCTCAGTCAGTAAAGAGCCTGCCACACAAGTACAGAAGCCTGAGCACCGATCCCCAGAACCCACAGAAAAGGCAGGATACAATGCTGATTGCCTGTGATGCCAGTGATGCAGGGCAGAGGATAAGACAGGTGGTGGAAACAGGCAGATCTCTGAAGTTCACTGGCTAGCCAGCCTGGCTGAATTGGGACCCTGTCTCAAAATGTAAAGGTAGAGAGAGATCAAAGAAAGACATCCAGTGTCCACCTTGCATACATGTACACGAAGAAGTATTACCCTCACACACATTTGGTTTATTTGCCTCTGATAATCATTTTCATGTTTCGGATCTTTCATTGCTAGTTAAAATTATTTATGTAGAGTGATCCCAAACAGTTCCTTCTCCAAATGTTCAGCTTTAGTAGTCATACTTGTTTCTGTTGCCCTGGAAGAGAGATGATTGGCTATAATGGGTGGGTGCATAAAAGAAGTTGATGCAGTCACATCTCTACTTACTACATTGGGATATGTGCTATTGCAAAGGAGAATGGTTTTTATTTCTCTCTTGGGAAAGAAGTAATCCCACGGTGGGTTTCCTGGCTTGCTCACATATGCCATGGGCTTGGAATTCTCGTGCCAGTACCCTTCATTTTTAGAGTTCAACTCATCATTAGTCTTTTCTGGGGAAGGGTGGCAGGGCAAGGTGAGCATCAGGATGTCAGAGCATGCCCAGAAACGCCAGTCCCCAGAGACATCTATGGAATAGTAGGAGTTCTATCCAGAAGAGACTGCAAACTTCACCTGAAGTTGTAAAAGTAACTGTGAGATGGGTTACAGAGGTCCACTTTTAAACTTAAGCCATGGGGAGCTTCAGTTACATTTTCAATACGTACAGTTTATTTTTCATGATGCATTTTTTGTCTGTTTTTTTAAAACCTAACCACATAACTCTTCTCAATAATAATATGTTTTAAACAATGGCTTCCAGTACTTAGCTTTTCTCACAATGTGGTCCTTGTGTTTTTGACAGCTCCTTGTTCTGCCATGGCATACCATCACGACAGCCGGCGGATATTTGTGGGCCAGGATAACGGGGCTATAATGGTAGGTAGTATCTCTGATGTATTCAGTATGTCCTTTGTAAGACTACCCCATATTTACTTATGCTTAACATGTTTGGCATGAGCAGTGTCTGTTTTATCATAGATGTTAGATTGAAAATAAGTTCAATTTAATTAGAGCTTATAAACTAATTTCTTTGTGTCTCAAAATGCTCTCATGATTGGTACTCAGGTCATCCACAAAGAAGACTTTTTGGAGTAGATTTGAGACCTGTAGCTGCTGCTGCCTTTGACATGGTAGTGGAGAATCCTGTGTTTGTGTGTATTTCTGTGAAAGACAGTTGAGAAGAAGGACCAGCTAGCTATTCATCCAGGAACTCGTGTGATTCTAGAATGAAGTAGTAAACCTTGAACCACCTTTGGTGAAGGATGGGATATTTTAATGATTTTTTAAAGTTAATTGTGTGTGTACATATCTACTGTTTCCTTACTAGATATGTGACTCATGTACCTAATTTGTCATCATTCTACATGTACATTTTAATGGTTTGTAGTGTTGTGTATATTCATTAGGTCATGTCAGCATCACCACCTTCTATTGCAGAACACCTTCACATCCCTCAGAGAAAGCTTGTCTCCATCAGCAGTTGCTCCCTGGTACACCTCCCTCACCTGGCTGTCTGTAATCTACTTTCTCTCAATGGGGAATTGTCTGTCCTATACATGTTGTGTGAACAGAATCATGATCCATGTGTAGCTTTGTATGTGTGTCTTGTGGAGTTTGGATTAGTTACTTTATCCATTTTTTTTATGGTAGACTAGTGTTCTCCTACACAGAGCATTCTCTTGGATAGAGAAATCACACTTAGCCCATTGATGAGTTGATAGGCATTGGGATTATTTCCATGTGGGGCTGTTGTGAACACTGCACTATATATAGCATGGTATATAGGTCCCTTTGTGAATCTGCATTTTTCATTCTGTTGGATATATAGGAATGGAATTTCTGGGTCATATGATGACTATTGACCATTACAGGAAATCCTCTGTCCATCCTTAATTTTTATTTTTTGAAAGAGAGAGTCTTGCTTTATAGCCCAAGCTGTCCAAGAACTTACCCCCATAGTGACTTTACCTCCAAAGTGCTGGTCTTGGAAGCATGTGCCACCATCCAGTGTCCTGAGTTTGGTTCCTAAATCCGTGCTTAGTACTAGATACTAGACTCCTATCAGATACAACGCTCGCCTATCAGAAGGGTTGCCTTTTTTAATCATTTTTAAGTTTTGTAAAGTTAAATATATTTTCTCTCTCTGTCTCTCTCTTAGTTTCTTGTACTTGGCTACAATATCTAAGAAACTTATTAACCTGACCCAAGGTCATTTTTTCCTGTTTTCATAGGAGAACATTAGTCTGTGGCCATATCACTCTGAATGTGCCTAATCCTGTCATAGGAAAAGACTACATTGCACTTCTCTTTTCTTCTAAGAGTTTTACAGTTTAGCTTTCATATTTAGAGCTTGGCTCCATTATTCATTAATTTCTGTAGATGGTCTGAGGGCTGGTTTCACACTTATTCTTTTGTGTGTGGATACTCAAAGTTATGCCAGTACCATTTGTATTTTCTTGGCACCCTTGCCACAGCCAGCAGAGTATCCAGAAGTGAGAGCTTAGTGAAGACTTGAGGTGGCACAGGTCTGTGTTGGAGGAGGATATCTTGGCTGGGTGGTACTGAATGATAGAAGGACCCAGGCGTAACTGAGATGTGGATAGTGGCCAGCCAGGTCATGCAAGGCCTATGGGTAAATTTTTACATTTTATTGTAAATTTAATGAGAAGATAGCAGAAGGTTTATGAAAGGCAAGTGATACGATGTATCATCCTCCAGCTCTTTCCGATAGGATTTCACTATAATGCTCAAGCTGGTCCCAGAACCTGCTGTGTAGCATGCTGGCCTCAAACCTATGCTCTTCCACCTCACTCTTCCAGAATGATAGGATTATAGGCACCACCTATATTCTTTTGCCTGGCAATATTCTTAAATGACTAACTCTATGGAAACTGAAAGTAACAAGAATGAAAAGGAAAGTCAAGTTACTATAGCAACCAGGAATCTGGGATCAAGGACAATGGCCTCAGAAGTGGGCAGAGTGGATGACTTAAGATGTCTCCTGGCATGTTTGCTGTAGGTTCTGTTTGAGAGACAGAGGAAGGAAGATGTCACTTGGCACCAGATTTGGGGCTTGAATGAAGTGGGCTGTGGTGCCATTTCCTGAGACAGGAACAGCTTTGGGTGGCAATTGGGGACAGGAGCAGGGAGGTGGTGAGTTCCAGAAAACAAGGGCAAGAGAGAGGCTGATATCAAGCTGTGCTGAGAAGGCAGCAGGTGTTCATGTAAACACAGATGTAAGAGCCAGCGAAGCTTAAGAAGCTAGAAAGATGGGCATGGGCACAAAGACACTAAGGGAAGAAGAAAAGAGAATGAGGATGGGGTGTGACAAGGGAGGTTAGGGATGACAGGGGTGGGGAAATGGTGGAGGGGGAGAACCATCAAAACAGTGTGTTTCAAAGCATGACAATTTCCTAAAGATTATCTAGTATTTTACTAGATAAAATAGCTAAAAAAAAAAAAAAAAAAAAAAAAAAAAAAAAGATAGATGAAAAGAAAGAAGGGAAGGAAGAAAGAAAGAAAAGGAAGGAAGGAAGAAAGAAAGAAAGAGAAGGAAGGAAGAAAGAAAAGGAAGGAAGAAAGAAAGGAAGGAAGGAAGAAAGGAAGGAAGAAAGAAAGAAAGAAGGCAGGCAGGCAGCCAGAGGTAGGAAGGAACACACTCTCCTTGCAGACACAGAAGTCTGGAGTACAGTGGAAGAAGGGACCATGATAGGAAAGCCTGAGGGTCTGAGGGTGCTAGTAAGGACTGAGCATTAAAAAAAAAAAAAAAAAAAAAAAAAACCTTTGCTGAGAAGGGGACCAAGTGTCAGATGTAGGTCAAAGGTCTTCATTGTTGTTTTAGCTGATTTGCCCATTAATATAAAATGTTTTGATTATGTGTAAGGGCTGAGAAGAAAGCCAAAAGGAAGGATGGGCTGCTGTCCTGTCATTCATACAGCATCGGCGGGTGGCAAGGACCACTCTGCACACAGTAGCAACATTTGATAAGGGTCTGTCCATCCCTTTCCTTCCAAAGACTTTGAGGGATATCGTGATGATGCACACTCTCATGTGAGATAAACCCTCAAGTGTAAGCTGCTAGCACCTTCTCCAGGTGGCAGTGTGTGCATCTCCTGAGGGATTCTTCTCTGCATTTTGGTTGAAGAAGAAGCTGCAGTTATAACATGTGAAATTACTGGCTCTAGCAGAAAGGGACAGTGCAGATCTAATTTAGCAGTAGCCAGCAGTTGATCTCTGGGTTGGCTGTCTTGTCTAGATTCTCATTTACAGTGCTGCTGAACTTCTGTACCCAGCAAAGCCAGACAGAGGACAGGATGTCTGTATTCCTTTATGTGTGTTTTTGCTCATGCTAAATCAGTCTACAGTTTATAATGTCTGCATTACATAGCATCTTGATAGTTTAATACAGATCCATAGGGTTCTTAACTAGCACATATTCTTTTGACTTTTATTGATTCTTTTCATTACAAAAGTGTGTGCTTCCCCCCTCCTAGTTATATGGAAAATATAAGAATATCAAAAGACCCTCCACTGTCTATAAAATTTGTATTTTAGAGCGTGTGTTTATGCACACAACATGCATGCTTTTCTCGCTAAATTGCCAAGCCATCACCATCTCTTTCCTATCAGCCATCAACAATGTTGACAACAGGTCTTTAACATCTGCTCCTTATGCATTCATTGTCTTGAGGAGTTTATTGACTTAGTGTTGCATAGCCAAAGGAGCAAAATGAACAAACTGTTGCAGTTAGAGCAAGGCTGGCTTGTGGAGGAAACATCAGACATAAGTGTAAGTGCTGGGCTGGCTATTCCAGCTGTTCGATTCCTCCTCAAAGGAATGATGGCCCAAGGACAGGTTTGCTGTCCCCTCTGTAGCTCATCTTGAGCACCATGCCTCACGACAAGCATTTTTTTGGACTTTGATTCATTTTTCAAGTTGAGTTCCTGTTGTTTAAAGAACTGTAACTGTCTTTTTATCACATATGCTTGCTTTTAGGAATTTCACGTTTCTGAAGATTTTAATAAAATGAATTTTATCAAGACCTATCCAGGTAATGACACACACTCTTGCATGTGTACACATTTAGATACACACACACATAAAGCTAGATGTCCTCTGCTATGATTAAAGGTAGGTTTCCATGTTAATGTTTCCATTTTAGTGCTCCAGTTATATGAGAGAATATTAAGTAAGTTATTTACCATCCTTTCCTGCTTCCTGTATATAAGTTTTTTTCTGTTGGGTAAGTGTGCAGGGTTTAATTTCACTATTCTTCTGTTATTGGAAGCAGATGTGCACTGCTTCCAGTTTTTGACTAACATAATGTACAATATACATGCCTTTGGTTGTGTGTACATGCACATCTGTAGGTGTAATTCATAGTTATGTGCATAACTGTGAGTGTTCACGACTGTGACCTGAGACTAGATGGTTAATTTTGACGACTTGTACTTATGACAAATTCCTACAAGCCAGATAGCCAAGTCAAATGCTACAATATTATTTTAATGCTAGAGATCTATTTTTGCAAGCTACTTCCCAAACAAAAGTGCGGATCTTGCAGCTCTGTGACCAGTGAGTGACTGGGGTGTCCCTCTTGCTGGACCTTCCTAACATTGCTGCCTTATTTGTTTGGTACAGTTTGATAGAAAAGTTCACAATTTTCAGATGACTTCAGCTTTATGTAGTGTTGGTCATTTGTTGTCCCTGAACATCCATTGTGATTTGTGTCCCTATTCCCAGTGAGTTGCTGTATGTTGTAACTGAGTTAAAATGTGAAACACACAGTTTATACCATTTGTATTTAAGTTTTCAGAGTTCTCTATGGGTTATATGTAGCACAATTTTGTAGTGGTTTCTAGAGTGTCCATCTCATTGCTGACTTAAGACGTCTGGAAAACTATGTGGAAGACTGAACAGAGTTTGCCACGTTTTAAAATTTTACCACATGGGAGAATCTAGAAACTGTGATTGAAGAAGCATAAGCACTTACAGACTTCACCATCCTTTCCTTTAAAAATACTGAAAAGTTACAATAGTAAAAAGGATGTAAGCCTACAAATGAGATAGCTCTTCCTGAGAAAAGTAATTGACTGACATTCTGAGGTCTTTACTGTGAGCTGGGATAGCCTTGTCTTAACGCAGTCTGACAGCTACAGCTTTAGTGGGAAAAGTGGTTGGAGTTAGACAAAGCAAATTCTTCTTTTAATTATAAGATGCACTCTGAGTAAAAGTCACGTCCCTCAGATTTTGTATTTGAAATTAATATGCACCCTGTGTTTGTAGAAATTAGAAATATCAATAACACAGAAAAAAGTGAAACAAAAAAGCCCACTCAGTCACCATCTGGGATTTGGTTTGCTTGAATCTGTGGCTGAGCAAGTGTTGGAGCACACTTGAAGTTTTGGAGCTTTCGGGGAAATGTAATGATTTTATTTTGTTTTTTGAGACCAGGTCTCTCTGTGTAGCTTTGGAGCCTGGCCTGGAACTAGCTCCTGTAGACCAGGCTGGCCTTGAACTCACAGAGATCTGCCTGCCTCTGCCTCCTGAGTGCTGAGAGTAAAGCTGTATACCACTACTGCCTGACTCAGAGAGCATATAATTTTTAGCATAGCCTCCTTGCAGTGTATGTACATGATAATCGCTCTGACACAGCGATCCCCTCAGTTCTCTTGAGTGGCTCACACAGCTGAGGGCTTTTGATTATATTCATCAGCTTGAACATGTACTAGAATCTGCTGTGTGCTGAGTCATGTGCCTAATGAAACAGTCATGCCATGCCTCAGTGAGGCCAGAATCAACCTGAAACATTTCAGAAACAAATGATGGCAAAACTTCCTCCTTTCTCAGATGCTATTTCAGAGGCTTCACAGATGCTCTGTCTTTACAAATAATAATAAAAACTATACACAACACCATTCCATAAAAGGATTCTTTTTAAATGTCACAAAATTGTATTTGTTCTTATATACAATGCAAAAAATCTTATTGATACTTTGTTTTAAAATGATATACTGTCTATTAGATAAGTATAAAAAGATATTAGCCAGGTGTATTGGTGACTCTTCTGGTTTTTCTGACCCAAGACCACAAAAAGCAAATTAAGAGAGGAAAGAAGAGTTTATATTGTCTTAAAGTGTGAGGGTCCATCACCTGGCATGGCAGGAAAGGCATGAGCGTTGATGGAGTTTGTTTAGCATGGCAGGAAAGACATGAGCAGTGATGAAGTAATCTGCAGTTAAAAACACCTCTGCTCTGTTGAGAAACATCTGCCACTCACCATACAGACAGCATAGCAAGGTTTTGAGAGCAAAGATAAAAATGTTCCTTTGAACACAGTCAGACAGATAATAAAAAAGATCTTGTTTCCTGTTAATTGGAATCTTTCTTGAGCAGGGCTCTTTAGTGTTTCCCGGCTTCTGGCAGCCATCCCTGTGCGGTGGCCCCGGGCTTTGGTGAGAGCCTGTGAGAGTGCATGGGAAATGGGAAAGATCAGATTGTCTGAAGTCTCCTGAGATCATGCCTGTACACGGTGGAAGTTGAGCCTTAGCTCTCACCCAGTGTGGGGAGGTGTTTCTGAAGACAGCCCTCTGTCCTGACGGGCACCGACCCTCCATTTGTCTCCTGCAGCTCATCAGAACCGCGTGTCTGCTATCATCTTCAGCTTGGCCGCCGAGTGGGTGATCAGCACCGGCCACGACAAGTGTGTGAGCTGGATGTGCACACGCAGTGGGAACATGCTTGGCCGCCATTTCTTTGCATCCTGGGCTTCCTGCTTGCAGTATCCTTCAGAGTGCCCAACCACTCCTGCCCAACACCTCTCACCTCACTGTTTAATTTGGAATTGAATTATCAGTTGTTCTGAAGACAGAATGGTTCCTGTGGATTTAACTTCCAATCCAAGAATCCCTGTGTTTGCTTTTCTTTCGTAGATAAAGCGCGCCTGTTTTTTTTTAAAAAAAAAAATATGACATAAATATGTTCTGCGTGGGAGGTGGTAAAATTTTTTTATAGGAACTTGTAGAGCCCTGTTAATGCAAGCCCTACCCTTCATTCCTTCATTCCTTCATTCCTTCCATTACAAAATGAAAAGCTTCACTCTACCCTGGGCTTTATAAGTGGGCAGCTAGGAACTTTTATACAAAACTTCACTTAATGAGCTTTTTTAATTCTTATTTTTATATAAATGTGAAAGGGCCCCTGATTCTTGCAGTACTCTCACGGGTGCCTCGGGTTCCCCACATGATAACAATCCCGGCTTTAACCTTTCCGCCCCACGGGATTTGTCTTACACACACTTCACCTTTGCTTCAGGTGACCTCTGGTTGCTGTGTGCACAAGCGATGACAAGACGAAGACCGTAAACAGCAGACAACACCCTAACATAGTTCATGATACCGTGGCACGCCTCTCCCACAAAAAAAAAAAAAAAAGTTGCTTTTTAAAAGTTTTTGTTACAAATTAATGCATAACATGAACTATTTATAATAACCCTTTAACATAGACTATACAGTTTAGTGCTCATATATTGTATTCTAAGTGAGCTTTTCTGTCATGGATGAGAATTCTCATAATGACATTGCAGAATACAACCAAAAAAATCATCACTATGGCCTGGCTTGTAGTTGTGACCATGTGTTCTAGAATACTAGCTGCTTTTCTACAAATGCCTGTGATTACACAGTGAGAGGGAATGAGTTATTACTGGTAGATAATATGCTTTAAGCTCGTTACCACCACAGATAGCTGATGTCTGGATTATGGAACTACCCTCTGCAAGTTAAGCCATTGCCTTCATGTAAAGCTAGATTATCTAGGGGAAAAGGAAGATGAGTCTGTGTCCTGTGCATACTGTCGGTATGGCAGCACTTTCAGAGTTTCAGTGTGTGTGTGTGTGTGTGTGTTTAAATGTTTGCTGTTTTCCCTATTTAGCAATATGTCTATGGTTGGTATTGCTTGCTCTGTGGGTGTGTTTTGAGTTGGGTCCTGTTACCTGTCCTTGACTGCTTCTCAGGTATGATATGGATACTCAGCATGCCTTCGTTGGTGATTACTCAGGACAGATCACCCTGCTAAAGCTGGAGCAGAACACCTGTTCAGTTATCACAACCCTCAAGGGACATGAAGGTAGGCTCTGGCCCTAAGTTTCCCACCTAGGTTAGGCATCCAAAGTCGGTCTTCAGCTCCAGTTTTGGGAGTGGTCTCATCCTTGTGACTGGCCAGCTTTCAGTTTGATGGGATTCAAAAGAAAACCAAGTGTCAGTCGGGTGTCACGTTCAGTGTTATACATCAGAAATCCTGTCTGAATTGCTCAAGGGATGGATGCTTAGTGTTGCTTACTTTGTTTGCTTATTGATTGATTAATGGCTGTTTGAAGTGGGTCTGACGCTAACCCTGGCTGTCCTGAAACTTAATGTGCAGCTCAGGCTGACTAAGGCTCATAATAATCCTTGTCCATTAGCCTCCTAAGTACTGGACTTAGAGTTGTGAGTCACCGTGCCCAACAACCTTTTAAAGTTATCATTTCCATAAGAATCTTTCAGGGCCAGAGTGCTGTATTGGTTTTAAGCCCAGGGCTGCTACATGCCAAGTGAGAACTCTTACCACTGACCTACACCTCCATCCCCAGACCACTTCTTTTAAACAGACCATTGGAAGAATCCTCATTACTGTTATTTTGTTAGTTTCTAGAGTGGTACTGTGCTCTGGGTGATGACTTGGGAGAGTGTAGCATTAGATAAAACTCCCTATTTCTATAGTGAATTGTTGTGGTGGAGCTCAGTGGAGGAATGTAAAATTCTATTGACTGAATCTGGTAAACTTTCTATGTACATGTGAGTGATAAGTTGATTTCATTGACCACTGAGCTGAAATGCAGTGTTTTGATACAGATGGTTGGATCCCATTTCTGTGTGAGTGACAGATTGGAACTTTGAGGTCTCTAGTTTAGACTAAAGAGTTGAAAATTTGTTGAGAGGATCAATAGTGTATTTATTTAAGATGGTAGTTAGGCAACAAGTTGGATGTATCATACACTTTCTAGATAAGTTGTTTAGATGAACTAGACTGTCCAAGATCAGGGACTCTGGGGAAAAGGTACAAAGGAAAATTAATAGCACCTTAGAAAGCTGTTGCAGAAAAGCAAGATTTCTGATAAAGCTGGATCTTCTGCAGGCGGAATGGGCCCTGAGACTACTTGTCAGACCGTGTTTATCTGTGGTTCGGGCCACTAACTGACACGTGAGGAGCATAGGACTCAACAGAATTCATGACAAAAAAAAAGTGTGTGTGTGTGGGGGGGGCTGAAGCTCATTTTGCCAAGTACTTTTTTTGTTTTGTTTCCACTTTTATTCTGTTTTGAGAAGGTTTGTATGAGAAACTGACTTTTCTTTCTTGCTTGTGAAGATGACCTCATTAGTTTCTGTTCGCCTCCATGAGAGTTGTTAGTGTTCGTCGTGTGTTCAGTGTTACTGTTTGTTAGTAGCTGTTTCCTAGGCCAGTGGTAACAGCAGAAGACACCTGGAAAGAGGAATCTCTAGAAACAAAAGATTTCCCCAAGGGCATCCAATTTGATAAACTAGCTAGTACAAAGTATGAAATGCAAGGGTTGCAAGGGTTGGATTTTTTTTTTTCTAAACTTCTTTGGTATATTTATTTTGTATACCTGCACCATTTTTTTTTCTTGAGGCAATTAATTTAATTTTCACAGATAAAAAGTATGCTAGGAAAAATGTATGAAGTTTCATGAGTCTGTAATAACCTAGGTTTGTATATTATATAAAAACACTTGCAGTTAACTACAAGTATTTTCTTGACCTATATTGGTGGGAACTTTTTTTTTCTCCAGAACTTTTCTGAACTGATGTTTGTTTTCATTTTGTTTTTAACTAGCTATCTTATAGATTATTTAAATTTAAATTATTGGTGCAGAACACAAAAACTTTTTTTTTTTTTTTTTGTGAACCAATGGATTTATTGGGTTTATTCACAGGAATATGGATAAGGGCTTACTTAAGGAGCAGGGATAACTCAAAGGCAGCTGCATCACTGAAAGTCTACCTTGGTGTGGGTCATGACTCATGAACACTAGAACCTAGAAGGAAGGCTCATTTAAGATGCAGGAAATAAACAACTCACAAGCCTCAGGAAGTCCCTGAGAGTGAGCAGATGCATAGAACCCTTTCCTCACTCAGCAACAATATATAAGCAATAAGGATGACTAAGAAGAGACTCTGCAACCTGTTGAGCTACCTACAAGGAAAAACTTTTAAACCCTTTGTATTCAAAGCTGCGTGACTCACAGTCATCCCCATCTTCCGAGTTTGGATAATGGATTTACAATGTTTTCTCCACGATCCATGAGAATGTGGTTTGAATGACCCTTTGTATATGACACTCAAAGGCTCAGATGGCAGTTGGTTCTTCCATAGTCACACATGTGTCCTGATGCTGAGTCCTGTTGGACCTCTTTCTCACATGCCTAGGTAGCATCGCCTGCCTTTGGTGGGACCCCATTCAACGGTTACTCTTCTCAGGAGCATCCGACAACAGCATCATCATGTGGGACATCGGGGGAAGGAAAGGCCGGACACTTCTCCTTCAGGGACACCAGTATGTGACCATTTGGGGTTGGGTGTCTGAGGCAGGAGGGGAAGGCACCGGTATTCAGTCCTGTCTTCATTTTAAGTGCTTCTGTCCCTCCTGAGTAAACAGAAAATGGAGTATGTGGTATCCTTCCACATTAGCCTAAAGAGGACACCACTCTTTTCTTCTAAGGAGTGGCCCTGTTGAAACACCTACTTAAAGCATGCTGGGTCAGAGACTGGAGGCGAGAACTTTGACCATGGCGGATTCTGTGTGTTAAAGTACCAGGCTACTTCTGAGTTGGGGAATTAAGTATCTTATTAAACACTAAAACATATTTCATTAAAAAGTGGCAGGCACAATGCAGCCAGTCACTTAACGCTGACGATGTGATACTTAGGGCATCTTCTAGCCTTTGAAAAGGAGCCCTTAACTCCTTCATCACGTGTTCCTTTCTTCCTTGTTGCTGGTCAGGCCATAGCTGTTGACTGTAACTACAGTCAAGTTGAAATTTAGCCAGAAAAGTTAAGTGCAGAAGTTACCAGGTCAGGAGATTGTTTGCTTGGCATCCAGATCCAAGAGCCTTCAGGAAGAGGGCAGAGTTCTATCCGTGTGTGCATGGGAGTCACCCTGTAGCTGTGTGTGCAGCCTGTTCACGGCCCCAGTGATTTCTCTACTTTTCCATATGAACTGCTTTCCACTAAGAGTTACATTCTGTTTTGCTTTTGAACAAGTAAATAAAGCACTTGACAGAGGGATTATGGTGAAGGACACAAACCCCCTCTTCAACTTGCAGTTTAACTGACAGGTTCCAAAGGAGTAGAGAGCATGATCTGGATAATGTTAGGGCATGAAGATCATCATACAGTCCTTGAAACCACATCAAATAAAGGGTGATACAGTAGCACCCAGTAATAGCAGGAGGGGAGAGTGCCGAGCTCCAGTGAAAAGTTTCTGGCTGTTTCTGTGTTGACCTGTGACTTGTGTCCCATTTGCAGTGACAGAGTGCAGTCACTGTGCTACCTGCAGCTCACGAGGCAGCTTGTCTCCTGCTCCTCGGATGGTGGGATTGCAGTGTGGAACATGGATGTTAGCAGAGAAGAGGTAAGAAGCCAGAACGTGGCAGGCAGGTCAGAGGAGAGCCCTTCTCTGGCTTCTCAGTTTTCCACTTCGCAGGTTGGAAGTCGTATGCATAACCCCGCTTTCCTCCACCCATGGCTTATTGTCTAACAAAGGTTGACCTGTCTTTACAATGTTTTAAATTAACTTATTTGTGTGTGTATATATGGATGTAAGTATGATGTGTATGTATTGTGTTCATGTGTGTGTACATGGGTGCAGGTCGCACATGCATGTGAAGGGCAGAGATCAAAATTAGGTGGCTTCTTTTGCGCTCCATCTTAGTGTTGGAGACACCAAGTCCGGTGCTCATGATTTGCCTAGCCTGGTCAGCCAGCAAGCCCCAAGAATCCCCTGTCTCTGCCTCCTCAGCACTGGGATGGCAGGCATATACCACCTTGCCAGTCTTTTTATGTAAGTGCCTGGGTTCTGGACTCACAGGGAGCACCTTGCTTACTCAGCCATCTCTCCAACCTTCTCTGCTTGTTATGACCTGTACTGGGTGACACTTTCTGGCACTGATGAGCAGTACAAACAGATGGGCAGCATTTAGATTGAATGTCAGCTTTGAGGACTCAGCCACCAGCAGCCTTCTAGCTCAACCAGGGATTTGGACCCATGGAGGCCTTCTGAAGTATTCATGTGGCTCTGGAGCATTTCCGTTTGGAAGCCCCGAGAAGAATGTTACAGGATAGAGCTAGGCGATTCTCATCACAGGGAAACTGTACCACTGTTATCTGTGTTTGCTTTGCCTTGAGCTGTCTCCCACTGAGTCCATGTGACAACAGTTTTCCATTTAGGAAACTTGATTTTTAAATTTCATTGAACCACTAGATGTGAAACCTTGTTTAGATAAATGTTTTAATCTCTGGATGTCTGTTTTCTCTTCTAGCATTTCTTTATCATCTTTAACTCAGCCTCTCTATCATTCTTTCATTTTAAGAGACACTGCAGTGGCTGTGCTTGACCTTGTCATCGTGTGCTTCTTCAATTATTCATCCTGTGCAAATTTCTGAAAATAGATTCTGCTAGAGGGATGTCTATATCCATAGGCTTTTTATAGCTGTCATCAGATGGCTTCCAGGCAGGATTTCCTGCTCATCTCTGCTAGGGTGGTCCTTCTTTACTCAGTAGTATCTGTGGCTTGTGATGTTGATAGCAAAAGTGGATTCCAAAGAAGGCCGATGGACGGTCAAGACAGTTCCACTTCAGAAGGATTCATTAAGCACTCACAGAGTGGCCATATAGTCTGGCAACTTAGGGGAAACACAGGAGAAATGCTGCCTTGGTTTTATGTGGTTTTTAAGTTGTGTGTTCATGCATTTGTGCTTGTGTGTGTGTGCATGTGTGAGAGTGTGCATGTGTTTGCATGCTTGCTTATACCTTGAGACATGTCTCTCACTGAACCTGGAGTTCATGGTTTTTGGCTAGCCTGGCTGGGCAGCAAATGCAAGCAAACCTGTCTCTTTGTTGACCAGCCCTCACTGTAACGCTGTGTGGCATCTGAGAATTCTGGGTACCTGAATTCAGGTCCTCATGCTTGTACAGCAAGGCTCTAATCACTGGGCTATCTCCCCAGTCCTGGAAAAATCTTTTTTTTTGGGGGGGGGATGGATATTGCATTGTAGCAGGTGTTGTCTTACATGATGTCACACGTGTTTCCTGTACTGTCCTGTAGATCATTCTGCACTTCAGTGTACCCTGTGTGCCATTGCTGTATGTGCCGTGTTAATTCACAGTCCCTCCCACCTCCCAACCCCATAAACTTCTATGCATGGCTCTACTTTGTGTTGTCTCATAATATCCTCAGTTCTCACTGAATACGCTGTAGTTATTCCTATGTCCCATAAGTACTAACTGGGGGGGGGGGGGCGTTCAGGCTACAGAAAGCAGTAGTGACAGACTCGTTTTCAGCTTCCTACCCACAACAAACGTGCAGCTAAGTTGAAAACAGACTGCCCCATAACTGATAAGATGTGGTGCCTAATACAGAGGCGTTCTAATTGCTAGGTTTCCTGGCAGCTTGGTGTGGCAAGCCAAACAGGAAACTCTGGTTACATGGCTGCTGTTTAACTCCTGGTTTTGCACATTCTATAAATCTTTTGGTAAGGCTTGGAGTGGTGCAGACGTCCGTTAGGGCTGCTCTGTGTTCCCTCAGCCACTGGCTGTATGCACCAAGAACAGCTGCTGTGCTGTTTGTTTCCTGGGTTCTTGGTCCATTGTTTCCCAGTCTTATTCTGAGAGAACAGAGATGTGAGAGGGAGGGTGCATTATCCCATATACCTGGGGATAACTGTTGGGATTACCTCATGGGTTTAACCACTTCAATTTGAAACACACTTTTGTTTTCCTTTGCATGGTCTTTCAGAAAATGCAGTCGGAAAGTGGGAGCAGCACCCCTCCTTCAAATGACGTGATTGTCAACTGCCATTGTACCTGTAGGTGTGGCAGAGATGGCTTCCTGTTAGTCATTTCTGAAAGAGACGGGGAAGCAATTTATTTCAAAAGAGGCATTACTTTTCAGTAGGTACTCACTTTTCCTAGCTAAGGAAATGCAGTGCAAAGCTGAGCAGCCTACTCTCTGTGAGGTCTGACCCTGTTAGGGATCCGAACAGTGTCCAGGTCTTCCTTAGCTAGGGGCCAGAGGAAAAAGCATGCTTCTCCAGTCCACACCACTCACCCAGAGTGTCCCCTGGAGGTCACCTGCCTATACCGACTGGACCATTCCTAGCCCTTCATGACTATTAGCTCTCTGTGGCCATCAGCCCCTTCCAGAATAGAGCAGTGCATTTGCTTCCCTGCCAGATTGTAAGTGTATGACGTATGTACATGTAACAGTAGTTAAGAGGAATGTATAGGCAAGCAGACTTCAGAATGTGTAATACTACTGTGTGTATCAGTAGCAGCTAGTGGCTGTAATAAAATGGGATTATTCTTGCATTCTTTTTGTTCAGATTAGACAGATGTTTTTGTTCAGATTAGACAAATGGACCCAGGTTGTAGAGAAGAGATAGAACACCATAATGCTCAGTTAATAACCTCTCTTCTGAGCTGAGGCTGTTGCTAAATGGTGGAGCATTTGCCTGGTGTGGGTGCCTAGGCCCTGGCTTATCATCTCCCCTCGTTGTGCTCTCTTTCTTAAGACAGAGTCCCGTGTAACCCACAGCAGCCTGGGAGTCTGTGTAGCCTGAGCATGACCCTGACCTCTGGGTCTCCTTTGGCTTCCCTCTCTGAGCACTGGGATATAGGCATGTGCCACCACATGGCCATCTTCAATGCTGGGGATCAACCAGGGCTGCTTCCATCCTGGGCAAGCACTCAGCGTTGTCCTGGGGTCTGCTTTGCTCTTCTTTGTTCTTCTCAGTGCAAAGCACCTCTTTTCTCCTTAAACAACACTCACAGAGCCTAGTGGCTCACAATAACTCAGGGTTCAGTGGCAACTTCTCAGTATTAAAAAAGTAAATTTATGAATTTTCTTATATTAAACTTTGTACTAAAACACATGTCTGTTTCTACACTGATTATAGTTTGCTATCTCAAGGTATTAAAGGCATATTTTTTTTTCTTTCCTTGCGCTCTTCTCCCTCGAGTAAAGCAATATTCAGTCTTAATCCATGGCTCTCAAGGCCAGAGCTTAGCTGTCATTCTCCAGTATCTTGTTCTGAGACCCCCACAAAACAGCACTGAGAAGGGCTGGGTGGCAGGTGGCAGTAAGTGATGCTAACTCGCCCATTGGTCAGTGTAAGGAAAGGGAATACCAGAGTTCAGAACCCTTCAGTGAGGGCACAGGATTCATATGAGGAGTGAACCTACTCCTCAGGACTAGGCAGGATGGAGAAGGGTAGTGAATCTGTGTGGCATGATACCCATGTAGAACAACTAGACGTTTCTATTTTGTTCACCTGTTTTAAAGTGGCCTACAAGCAAGAGTCAGGTGTGGTGGTGCACCACCCATGATTGTAGCCCTTGAGAGGCTAAGGCAGGAAGATTGCTACAAGTTCCAGGCCAGCCAGACTATACAGTGAGACTATCTCCTAAAACCAATGTAGTGTACAAAAATAACAAAAAGAAAATCTCCAAACCATGGTATTGATGATGGCAACCTCAGCTAAAGTACTTTGTGGAAATTGAAAGGAATATTAATTCTAGAAAGTTCTAGAAGGCTGTACTGATGTCTGAACTCTGTACTGTCCCTAGGCTCCCCAGTGGTTGGAAAGCGATTCCTGTCAGAAGTGTGAGCAGCCCTTCTTCTGGAATATAAAGCAGATGTGGGACACGAAGACACTGGGGTTGAGACAGGTCAGTAGCGTGTTTATTCATCCTATAAGGTTTGAGTCTCACCGTTTTTATCATTAATTTGAAGTTTTAGAAAATCATATTTGTTCTTAACAAATGTGGTTGATTCCTCTCTTATTCTATATTGCCGCCATGTGACCGATACCGAGCACAGCCTGTCCTGGGGCTTCCCTAACTGCTCCTCTGTCCTGCATTAGAAAGCTAGGGATGCCTAGGGAAGCTGCAGAAACCGTTGTGAAACTGTGGAAGTTACTTGCATTTGGCACTATTTCCTACTAAAGTGAGTGTTTCACTCTAGCCAAGAACAAAATTAGAGAAATGAGGAAATTCAGTGAGTGCCTTAAGCTGTCACTAACAGGTGACCTCCCCAGGCACTCTCCGACCCTCTGACTATCAGTTCATTCCGAGTTGTGCCAGTATAAATACACCTGGATCATCTTCATTGAGACTTTCCTAAATCTCTCTTACACTTTTTTATATTAAGAAACATGTCCCCAATAGCCTCTTTCTGAGTGACACCTGAGTCCTGTGGTAGAATGCATTCCTGCACTGCCTCAAAAAGTGGTCGTTCACTCAGGCCGAGTATGAATTTGGGCAGCTAAGGGAGAGTGCGGTGGTTTTACTCACCGCTGATGGTGAGGGATTAGCCTAGTGTTTGTATGTGTTACTAACTTTGCCTTGCTGCCCCCAAGGCCCCTTCCAGACTGGCAGCCTGTGCTGGGCCTATTTTGTTTCTTACCACCCTGAAACACTGAAATAGGCAATTCTGCTGGATGCTTGTGTTGTGAATAGCACATTATAGTTGGTGAAGCTATTCCTTCTGAAGAAAACACAAGGGGTGGATTTTACTCTTATGCATTAATAAAGGAGAGAGAGAAATGGTCACAGAAGGGGTAGTGGTTAAAGGCTGTTATGGTCAGTAATAATAATGGAGTTATTGTGGAATGTTCTGGAGGCTTATTTCCTGAATCAGACTTTGAAAGGGCAAAAGAACATTCCCCATTGCAGATTATTTAAAACTTACTTTAATGGAGGAATAGATTTTCCTTCCCAGAATCTCCAGCAACTGGGTTCCTAAAAGAACTTGAGTTTGGCTTGAATATTGTTGCTTATTTTAGACCAGGCATTATGGAACAACAGACCCGGCTGTTGTCCAGCAAGCAAGGAAAGCTTTTGTTGTTTTTATTTTTTATTTTTGGAGACACTTGCTGTTTGATAAAATTGAGTGTATGGAGTGTCAGTTGATGATACAGTGAATGTTGGGGAAATAGCAAGCTCCCTGGTCCTGTTTCCCCTGCTTTCCCGTGAAGCAAAGCTAACTCCTGTCTCCCTCCACCCTGGAAGCATCACTGCAGAAAGTGTGGGCAGGCCGTCTGCGGGAAGTGCAGCAGCAAGCGGTCCAGTTACCCAGTCATGGGCTTCGAGTTCCAGGTCCGAGTTTGTGATTCCTGTTATGACTCCATCAAAGAGGAAGAGTGAGTCCCTGCTGGTGTTTGTCTTACTGTTTCCCGCCCCCTCTGTGTGATGGGCATTTGAATGTGGGCAGCCTGAGGAGGGATCTAGATTTCTACCCATGTGCTAATCTCTTTGGAATGTCAGAAACCATCTCTGTTTGTTTGTTTGTTTTATTCATGGGTTGGGCATGTGTGTGTCACAGCTTGGGTGTGGAAGTTCGAGGACAGCTCGAGGAGTCTCTCCTTCCACGCTATGGTTCCTAAGGATCAAACTGGTGGAAAAAATGTCTTAACGTGCCAAACCATCTTGTCAGGCCACATCAACCATTTTTGAAGACAAGTTCCTACCCTAGCTTTGTGACTTTGGGGCTACTAGTGTTTATCTCAAGTTGTTCCACTGTCTGGGACAGTTTTTTGTCTGCTTGTTGAGTACTGTGGGGTTGGCTAGCAGTAGTCCAGCTGCTGGGACCCATCGCACAAGGCTTGGTGCAGAGACATGTTCTTGTGTGAGGGGACAGTGGTTGGGCTAGCTGACCTTTGTCCTCTCATTACTAACAAGACTGTAAAGACCTGTACTCTTTCTTCAAACATTAAATAACTTCATCAGACATGCCCTGATGTGGGTTACAACCTTTAGGAGAAAAATCACTATTATCTTTCCTTTCTTCTAGAGCCTTAGCTGTAGTAGCAGAGGCCTGTGTCCCTGCTCATGATGGTCAGTGAACTAATGGGAGGGAGTGATTCTATTGGCTACAGAGCGGAGCGCTGCCTCGTGGCTCTTATGGGTGGCAGAGGTTCAGGGGCATTTCTTACTTATGAATTTTGCCCAGCTTCCTCCAGAACTATTATTCTTTGGTGTTATAGGCTCATGTTTTTATGTTTATATGCCAGTCTTTCCAATGAAAACAGCCAGTTATTTTTAGGCTAAGTATCTTAACCCCTTCTCCACCTCTTGGTAGAGAAGACTTCATTAATTCTAGGCAAACCCTGTCCTGTTGAGCTACACTCTTAGGCCTTATGAAACCTTTTGTACAGACAGCCTTGTTGCTGTTTTTCTGTACTCCACTAACTGTAAAACCATTGCTATTTTTTTTTTAGACGCTAAGGTTAACACCATTGTTGTGTGTCAGCCACCTATCTTGCTAAAGTATCATTTCTCTTTTAGCTGTAGGTACAGTCAGTGCATTTCATTGGTCCTTTCTCTTTGTTAGTCGGACTTCTCTAGCAACATTTCATGAAGGAAAACATAACATTTCCCATATGTCCATGGACATTGCAAGGGGACTGATGGTGACCTGTGGGACAGATCGTGTTGTAAAGGTAAGCTGACCTAGTAGCATCTCACTTCAGATAGAGCCATCCTCAAGCTGTGAATGAGCTTCAAGACATTTCTAATACCATTGCCAGTCACCTTTGCTTTTTAGAATCAACTGAGCAGATGTTTGTGATTCCCTACATCCTGAAGGGGAGTCACTCGGGGTATGTTTTGGTTATAATGGTGAGGGCCAGGTGCCTCTTGGATCCTGTGGATTCTGAGCTGGCCTCAAGGGTTCCCCTCCCATCTGGCTTGGGTTTTTGCCAGTCCTTGTCTACAGCCTTTCCTTTCTTCTTGGCTAATGTTCCTTTATATCCTCTCCTATTTGTGAGAAATGATTGCATGTTTTTTAATTAATTAATCTCTAGATCACAAATGGAAGTTGAAAATAAATGTATATTTAGTTGAGTTGTGAAACTGTAATATTTTATATTCTTAGACATTATAGTAAAATATTGCTATATTGTTTTCAGGTTTCAAGATGCTACTTAGAAGTATTTTTGGTTTTTGGGTTGTTCTGACTGTAGTTAGTGAACTACATTGCTTGGTTTGTATATAAGTCTCAAGGAGGTTTTTCTAGCCAATAAAAGGCAAGTCTGGCATTGTTGACTCTTGAAGTGAGACCCCCATGGTAAGTGTGCCTTCTCTTTTTGCCTTCCTTGTAGATATGGGATATGACTCCTGTGGTGGGCTGCAGCCTGGCAACTGGATTTTCTCCACACTGATCCTGGAGATGAGTGATGTCCGCTACACTTTGCGTACACACAGCGACTTCCATGAACAAAACACTTCATGTAGCTCAACAGCCACTGTCATGTAAATGGACAGTAACAACCTAAAAAAACAAATCAATATTTTTAAAAGAAAAAAAACCATATATATATATATATATATATAAGTGTGTTTTGGGGTATGTGTGGAAATTACCTGTGGAGACTAACACCTAAAAGGTCTGCACATAGTGGTCTCCTAAGGAATGGTATTTCCTCAGCAAAACTGCCTCATGAACATCGAACCAGTGAGTAAAGAGCAGTAATCCAGCAAATGAAGGTTTTAGAGGGAAATTTTTTTAACAAAAAAGATGAATGCTTAGAACTTCTTAAGCGCAAATCTGTGAGCACACACGGAGTCTACTGAGAGGGTCCTTGGAGGCCCCTAGTCCAAGCAGGAGTTGGAGGAAGGGCTTTCTCTCCTCTTCAGGGTAGTTGATAGGGTGTAAGAAACATGAGCTTCCACCCTACGGGCTGGCCGTATGTGAATGTTCCCCACAGTGAGTTGCTGATAAACATCCTTCCAGGTACCTCTTCCTGTCAGCTTGAGCCATATCTGTGCTTGGATTTGGCTCCCAGCCAGTGTCCCATGGGTGAGTGAACCTTTACAGTTGTCATATAACAATGACAGCCCACCTGTGTCCCTTTCTCCCAGACCTACTCTGTGGACAGAGCCTTTTTATGGTGCTGTTGTTCAAGCCTCCTGACACGCTTTTCTTCATCGCTAGTCATGACCCATGGCAAACCCAGCTACCAGCATGGTAGTGGTGAACGCCATCAGCCTGATCCATGGGACAGCCCAGTCCTGCTAACAGATACATTTGTCTGCAGTCCCAAGATGAGCCCCCATGATACCGTAGCAATTTATGTCCCTCAGAAAAAGTATTCTGAAGCTTTTATAGTATGTTTTGTTGTAGTTGTGACTAGTCATTGTTCATGTTTCCTGGGATACAATTGGTGGCCCATTGCTGAAGTTATCAGTCAGGTCTTGTGCAGTAATCCCTAACTTATAAATATCCTTCATGTTTGGGAAAGCTGATATACAAAATGCATTTTCACCAGATTGCCAGGACGTGGAGCAGAAGGGGGATGGAAAGCCTGAAGCGACTGTTCAGATGTTTATGTATGCTTGTGTTGATGGTAGAACATGAGCTATTCCAGTAGAAGTGTGGGAGCCAGCAGGAAAAGCTAAATAATGAATGGCCACGTCATTTCTGTGAGTCTTGCTGATGGGTATCATTTAAAAAAACTCGCTGCTGTTCTGTGATGGATTCCATCAAGATCAGATCTATTTGGCCTGATAGGACTAAGGGACTAAATATGCCTTATTAACATGGCTTACAGAGAGGGAAAAGTTTACAACAAGCAGTAAAACTATGATGTCCCAATGGCCATGACACAAATAATGAGGAAAGGAAAGATAGGCAGGCATACTGGGTTCTATATTGACACTGAAAGCTCTTGTCCTCAGTAGTAGTTCCAAAGGGTTTTGTTGCTCCCTTTGAATTTTTGTCACATTAACTGGTGACTATAAACTAGGTTCTGCTCACACTCTAGAAGGTATTTATTGCTAATGTGCTTTGGAAAAGAGGCTCAATGACGCTTTGAAACCACAATGTAGAGCAGTCTCCTTGACCTGCTTACTTTAGCTCAGTCCGTGGTTCTGCCCAAGCAAAGGGAAATAGAACACGATGGTGTCATTGCCCTGTGGAATAGGGCCGAGCCCTATGTGGTTTTGTTTTCCTAAAAACATCTGTAAAATGTGACTTTTGGACATCTGTGGTAGCTTGAACTAAACACTCTATATTTTTCAAGCTGTTTTTATTTTGAAATCTTGGTATTAAACCCTGTGTGGCATAGAGAACATGAGGTTAGTTTGAGCTTTCTAAGGGGCTAATAGAAATCAAGGAAGAAATATATATGTAAGGAAGAATGATGGCAGAGGACATTAGGGAGGAATGCAGACTGAATGCAGTTTGCTCCTCACTTGGGGCTGTGATCACTTCTTTCAAAGCTGTCTGTGCCAGGCTCTTCCTATGTGTCACATGTCAGGTAGCAAATGGGGTCATATTTTTTATAGAGGGTGAAAATTAGATTCTCTAGTTTCCTGACTGGGCACATGAGGAAGGGACAGGAAGGCTCATGCTTTTTGCCTTATGTGGACTCTGTTGCAAAATGGGTCTCTTAAGATAATTCCTCAAGCAACAGCTACCATCTTTTCCATCCCAGAATTCTCAATTTGTACAAACAAGGATCAAGAAGTACAGAATGTTAGAGAAGAGCCTTGACCTTAGATCTAGTGTGTAATAAAGTGATGCAAGTCTTTATTCTCAATGTGTCCTTCAGTGGTCCTGTACTAGATGGTTCCAGTGATAGCAATAGGCATGTGCTTTGGTTAGAAACTACTTACTACTCACTCGGTTGTAACTGTTTACTATGTCCTACACTTCACTTGCTGCCTAGAGGACATCAACAAACACTTGATTTAGAGTCTGTCACTATTCTCTCTTACAATGATTCATGTTTTTAGCGTCTATATTTATTAAACTATCAAAAATGACCCAAATACACAATAAATAGAATAGCAACTCAGACCCAAGATGATATCTTTGAAAAATCAGTGTTTCATGAAAGTACTATTGATATCTCCTAAATGACAAGAATCCAGTTACTGTTAATGAAAATGATCTGCTCATTATAAATGGGAGGCTTAACAAATAAGTGATACATGCTAATTTCTAAAAGTGTCTAATGCTTAATTGTTAATTGTGAGCGAATTACCAAATGTCTCATCTATTTTCTGCAATTTACTGTACAATAACTCTTTGAGTAAGTTGAAGTTTAATTGTGTAAGCAAATTTCTATCAGAGAACAATTTAAAGTGTTTCATTCTGTAGCCCTTTTTGACTTAGGAAGCAAAATGTGACATTAAATAATTCAATTTGTCCTTGTATAGCTGTGTTTCTATGTAATACTGTGTGCCCTGTGTATCCCTGAGAGGCTGGAAAATTTTTTCTCCTATTTGTGGGTTCAGGGTTCATTTTTGTGGGGCTTTTTTTCTGTTGAGTTTCTTTTCTTTTTCTTTTTCCTTTTTTTCCTTTTGAGAACATGCATATAATAAAAATCTCCCTTGCTTGTTATCATGCTGCTTCATCTGTGTTTGTTCTGTTTGCTCTGGACGTAGCACAGGACATGTCTATGTCTGTGTCACACTTACTGGGAAAGTTTCCAGCATTATCTTTTGAAACTCTAGCATAACCCCTCAAGTGTTTCTGCCATTTGCATTTTACAGATGACAGAGTCAAGAAGAGTCTGTCCATCTGTCTCTCTGGCTGTCCCTGTGTCTGACTTACAGGCAGCCACCTTCTTACACCCCGTCTTACAGTGCTAGCATATCCTGCTGTTGCGTGGGAGAATAGGAGGGTAGTGTGTTCTCTACAGAGCTGCATAGAGAAGAGACATCTACCTCTGTGCTCGCAGCTGAGCCTTGTGAGGTCAGATATGGTGGGTTTGCAGACACAAACCTCAGCACAAAGCCTGTCCGCTGTTCCTTCAAGAAATATCCCACTAACAGCCACTTCTCACCAAACAGCCACCATCCTCATCAGTCCCCTGGCTCCTGTCAGCCTGCTGTCAACACAGCTGATGCAGTGTGACTCCGATCATGTGCCCTCTCCCATTCTCAGTAGATGTTCTAAAATGCTCTCGTGTCCCTCTGTATTCCTCTCCAGCTTTACCTTTGTCCTTGTCGCCATCTCTCTAACTTGTAAAAACAAAGTTTTTACTGTTATTTATTTATTGGAGGGGAGATGTGTAGATGCCAAGGTACATGTATGGAGGTCAGAGAATAACTTAGCCCCAGGAATAAATTGTTTCTCCCTATCACGTGGGGCCCTAGAGATCAAACTTGGTACTCAGACTTAGCAGCAAGTGCCTTCACTTGGCAGTGATCCATCTTGGCAGCCCCTCGAACTCTATTAACAGGGAATTTGTGGATGGCCTCATGAACATACCAGCAAAGGTTTTTGAATGGTGCTTCAAGAATTGGTTCAGTGATAGAGCACTTTGCTGAGACGTACAAAGCCCCGAGTTCAAGCCCAAGTGGAAGGGTGGGTGGATGGAGAGAAGCACACTTGCCATTCACTGACCCATAACTGTAGTGGTCTGGCTTGTAACGGTGACCACACCCTTTTGGGCGTGGCTTCATGCGGAGGAAGGCTAAGGCGTGGTCTCCCTTGCTCAGGACTTTCCCTGGGGTTAGCCAGTTTGGTAGGAAGAGCAGAGAACCGCTTCCACGGTTCTTTGTATTTTTCAGTGTAAGTGCTCCCCAATAAACACCCATTTATCATTTGCCTTGGGTCTCGTGAAATCATTACACTCTCATCTTCACTTAACCGCTTTGTAAATGGATCATTAAAGCACAGCTGTACATCTTGGTTAAATAGCGGCGCTTCAATTTGTACAAGTCAGGTGCTCTGTGGACAAGTGAAAAATAAGTGACATGAAATCTCTCAGAAAGTGAGCCTGTAGTGGGACAGTTGGGGTGATGATTTCCTCAGCGCCATCACCCCCACCACCCTCACCACCCTCTTTCCCTGGCAAGCTGCTTGCACATCTGTCAAAGGCTGGACTTATAAAGGTGGGGCCATGGAAGCTGTTCTGAGTGTTTCTTGTCTTCCTAAAACAGCAGTCTACTTTGGGGGGGTTCTGCTTGTCATGGGACCATAAGAACGCCACCCTCAGCTTCAAGCTTGTGTGGGTTCTGTTGTACTTCTCAAGCTATTTCCACAGAAATGCAGCCCTTCCTCATATGAAGTGCTTCTATCTGGCGTTTTCCCTTTAAAGACTGGACCAACTTCAGTAAACATGGTGACTCATTAGGCCAACCTTGGTAACTGTCTGGGAAACTGGTAACAGGAACTATGCGATTCTGAGGCTCGGTCAGAAACATGTCACACAGTTCACATCTGTCTTTGGGAAACCAGACAGTTTCAGTTGGCAGCCAGTGCAAGCACCCAGCCTGAACATCCATTGCAGCTGAGTGATTACGTTGCTGCAGATGCAGCCAACAACATCTGGAACATCATGAGACA